ACATAAGGAACAATCAGATCTCTGATATAAGATGGAGCTTGGCCAGATAAGATGTTGTGCTTTAAAGTATCTTTATTTACTGCAGGATAATAACTCTGTTTTTCTTAACCTGGTCTAAACGCCAAAAATTTGCCTTGGAATCTTGCCTTAAATATTGTCTACTTCACTCTTAGCATCGCTGTTTTAAAGTCATTTTGAGCTTAAATGTTTACCTAAATGGATTTTTTTAGTTATTTGTAGAAAATATATAAGATCTTTGAACAGCAGCTGGTAAATATGCTAGAATGTTCTAATCTGTAAACATGCAGCAACAAGAGAGGAATTTTGGCCTCTAGGATAAACCTTTTATCTTCACCTGTGGGGCCAATTTCATTCTAGTGGTAAAAAAGGCGTTTTTCAGCTACTTATTTGGGAAATGCTTCTGTGACCTTAAACATGACATGACCCCTGACCTTCCATATGAAAGGAGATCACTCAAAATCTGACTCAGAAGTTGGCCATTACATCTTGGATCAAGGAGGCGCTCCGACCTATTTGTGCGCAGGTCAAGCAGCAGTCTTTCTTATATAAGCCTCTCTATTTAAATAGTAGTAAAAAATAACCTGGGTGCAGCCTTGGCCCATGTCAGGTTGTGTTTGGATGCTTCACATTTGAAGACCAGAGTGTCTGGTGCTACCAGAGGAGCTGCTAACACCTGGTTCTCTTTGTGAACCCACAGTAACCTTACCCTCAGAATGCTGTTTATGGGACACCCCCTCCCACTTGCTGGCCTGGTTCACTGTAGATGTGTGAAAAAAACCTGAATATAGATTCTTGGTATCTAGTCAGGGTTTTTTTATTTTGATTTGTGCATATTGAACCTGATTCTGTAGAAAAACCAACATATTTTATGATGATGTGCACCCTGACAGATGTTTCTGGCTCTTTTGGAGAGAAAATGGCCCAACATCATAGACTCTCCAATGCTAGGTCAGCATTACATGGTTTTCCCACATTCATCCTTTCTTTCACAACTGGATCATCTCCAGTTGCCTTTTAAACCAAAAGTTTATTTTATTGAAAATGATCTTGCTAAGTATCTAGGGTAGTAGGGCAGAAATAAATGCATCCTAAATTAGTTTTTATGGGAGCCTGGTGTCCTCAAGCTGGAAGTCTTTGCTGCTGCTCCCCTCTTTCCACCTTTGGAGTTTTGTACTTCTTCCTTCATAATGCTGCTGACTTAATGGTAAAAAAAAACCAAACATGATTCCTCCTCAGACCTTTTGTTACAGTTACAGTTAAAGGATTGCTCTGACTATAGGTATGAGGAAATTCAAGCAGGTATCTTTTGTATTTTTCTTTTTCTAGCAGCCAAAATGCATAAAGGTATCAGCACATCTTAAAAGTTATGTTTTCTCGTCCTTCCTGTTTTGTAGAGTGGCAAACAGTAAAGGAATCTGTCCTGTTTAGGGCTCGGCGATAGGGGCTTTAAATCGTGATATTTTGTGGTGCTATCATGATGAAGATAAAAGTGAAGAAAAAAAAGTGATCATTACTTCTTTAGAGTCTTTCTTAGGTAGCTGTATGGCTGTGATTGCATGCTAAAGCAATCATAGCTCCAAAAATGCTGCTGCTGAAAACTAGTTAATTAAAAACAGGAAACTTCAGGACAGAAGTTACATAAAGACATGAGATTTTTATCACTAAACATCTTACAGTGACCAAATTGAATCATATTCTTCAAATTTATCAATCCCTTAATGAAAAACAAAAATAAAGGACAAAATAAAACTAAATATATTGTTATAACATTCATCCGTTTTTTTGGAAGTTTTTAAACATAATTAATTGCAATTTATTATTTAGACAATAATTCAAAATTCTTATTGTGACAATAAATGTATCCCGATATTGATAAGCCATACCATAAATGCCAAACCCAGTCCTTTTTTATTTATACCTCAGGAAAGCAATAAAACTCTTCAAAATGTAAATGAAACAAATGAAAATGAATCTTTAGGAAGTATTATTTAAAATGAATTTGAAATAGCAACAAAAGCAGCACCACTAAGTATGAAAAAAAACATTATTTTTTTAAATTGTATCTAATTCTAAACTGAATATTAGATCTCCTCTCAGCAATAATAGATGCATTTATTTTAAATATTTTTAGAAATCTTTGTCGGTGGTTTTAAACAGTTAATAGGAGGATATATAGCAGATTTTAATAAACAAAAATAGCAGTTAAATTGAATAAAATGCATGGCTAATCTTATTAGCTGAGGTTAGTTTGCAAAAGCGAAGAAGAAAAACATGACGGCAATTTTTTGATGATGTTTCTCTTTTCTCATGCAGCATCACAGGCAGGAAGGCTCGAGCGCTCTACGCTTGCAAGGCAGAGCACGACTCGGAGCTGTCCTTCATCGCCGGGACCGTCTTTGAGAACGGTGAGTCAGACGTCGGCGCTGGCAGCAGTGGAGGAGGAAGACAGGATGTGTGTTGGCGTTACACAAGTTCATTTGTTGTGAAAACAGAGAAAGCCGTGGGGACTTACATTTCCTCCGATTTCCTTGTTACCCTATTTGATGCTTGTGTTTACTCTACAAGACGCTTTTAGAAGGGATGATTGCTGTTTTTATTAAAAGGAGAAAGCAACAAAAAGGAGGGTTTTTCAGTAGCTTTATGTTTTTTCTACATCGCCAGAAGAAGGCCGCTTTTTTAGCCTTGATCTCCCACATTCACTTCCTTTACATGAAGGCCATAATAGCAGAGAGTCAATGGTGAAACGCTATTAAAGCTGTCTGCACACAGACTCGTTCGCTGACACTCAACCCGGCGGATCACATATTTAGCTGTAATTGTGTATTGGTTAAAAAAATCGACTCCTTAGCTGCAAACACGTGGTAGAGATTCAGCTTTCCTTTCCCTCCAAACCGACTGGTATGCCTTGTAAAAAAAACATCGGCATCTTACAGACTATTGATAGTTATGTAATGCAGAGCCGTGTCATGTGAGCCCCCTTGGGTCAAACTGTGTCCCCAGGGGACATGTAATCCCCAAAGTGGTATCTGAACACTGCAGGCTTTTCATCGGCAGCCAAGGATGAAACATTTAATCTGTCAGACTACACCCTCACAGGTTTTTTTTTCTTCCTTCAAGCAGTCGTAATAATTTATTTTTAGTTTATTTCAAACATGATTAAAAAATACAAACATATATTAGCATGTATAATCAATACAGATTTAACATTGTTCACAGCATA